GCTGAAGTATAGGAACAATTGTTGTATGGAAGTTGAAGTGCATTAAACATAAATGTCCTTGGTACTGGAAACATGGTAATGGTTACATGGAACTTGCTTCTGAACCTAAAGTTTTGCTTTTTTTTTCCAATTCCAGGGTTCTTGGGGGTGGCTTTGTTTCATGAAGGATTTTTGGTTTAGTCAGATGATCAATATACATTATTCTGAAAGGCAGTATTTTCTGTCCTACAGCTCCTTGAAATGATCCGATTCCTTTTAAAACATTGCTGTCAAAAATAGCATGCAGAACAGAAGTAAGGACCACTCAGTGATTACGCAGCAGCTATAATGCCAAATATTGTCTTGTATGTAGTGCATTGTGATGTTTTAATTTAAAACTGCTTAACTCCAACTGTCTGTCAGGTTGTTAGTCCACAGTAGGGCTGCCCAACTTAACTGGAAGCTGGTTTCTCAGCCATCTATCTAGGGCTGTGCAGTGATGGTCTGGTCCAGTGGAGTTCGGCCTACAGCTTGAGAGCCAGATCTGGCCTGTAAAACCATGTTATATAGTCCCTAGGGCTCTTGAAACTAGTGGTGGGGAACCAGGGCATCTCTCATGCTGCCAAATTTCCAGACCCATTAATGGATTGATGACTTCCCTGGGTTTAATTAAGGCAATTTAGTCAAGGTAATTAATCCATATCGGATCATGCTTGTGTGGGGTCAGGTCAGTGTCTGGATTGCATGTGTGGATTGGCTCTCATCTGGCCCAGTAGCATGCAAAGGTTGAGCACCACGGTGGTGGGGGGGGAGAGACACTGCTTAACTTGTACTGCAGGGATGGATGGCTTCATTCAGAGTAGCAGTTTAATTTCTCCCTCCAAACCCCTTCCCTGCCAGCACTGATTTTGCCTTTTCTCACTGCATGAGTTGGGGCCTAATAGGTAGGGACCTACTAACATTGTGATTTATATACAATTTTTTTTGGCAATTTTAGGCTTGCTAAGAAGACAAAAAAAAAAAAAAAAAGACAAGGAGAAAAGCGCACTGAGAGCCCTGGAGTCTTGGAGCATAGGAGGGAAAGGGGCAGGGATGAAGAAGTGGCGTGGTTTCTTCTATAGGGGTGGGGTTTTGCAAATAATGGAATGAGGGAAGAAAGGCAAGTTATTCCCAAAGGAGGTGGAAGTTGGAAGGGTTCTGCAAATGAAGGATCAGGGCTATGGCATTGGGAGGTCGCTCCAAAATGACTAATAGAGGCAGCAGGGCAGGGTTCCCCTGCTTTTCCCCCCTCCAGGGTTCCAAAGTTGCAGGGCTTCCCACATGCTTTTCTCCTTTCTGGTAAACTTGGGGGTTTTTTGTAGTGAGCCCTGCAAAAGCATGGAGTTTGCTGCTTTGGGATTAGTCTGAAACTGGTTTAATTACCTGGATTATTCCAGGGAAACCATTAATCCATGTTTAATAAAGTGGATTAATGGCTTCTCCAAGTTTTTAATTACGGTTAGTTTAGCCTGCTGCAGCATTCTTTTAAAGTACTGTATTTTATGGTGTATGTTGGGTTTTGAAGCCCAATATCAAAGAATCTGGGACAGGGCTGGGCTCGGTGCTCTGCTGGTGCAGCCCCATCCCCTGTGAGCCCAGTGCTGCTTGTAGGGGATGGAACTGGGCTCAGTGCTCTACTGCTGCAGCTTCATCCCCTGTGAGCGGTGCCGGGCTAGCTGAGCATAGCCCTACCCAGTCCCTGATTTTTATTTTATTTTATTTTTTTGTGTGTTTAAAAAGTAAAAAAATAAAAAATTGGGCTTCAAAACCTGATGCATGCTATAAAATACAATACTTTACAGGGATGTTACAGCAGGCTAAACTTGCTCAGCTGCTGGCCCCACTCAACAAGGGCTAGCTGTTGGGAAGCAAGCAGGCTGGTAACAGCTGGGATAAGAGCTACATCTGGGGGAGGGACTGTCTCAGGAGCTTGCTGTGTAAGGTCAACAGCTGGGCCAAGTCTGGCTGCTAGAAAATAAGCAGTTAAGGGACAGATATTTAGTCAGCTAAACTAAGCCACAGCAGAGACGGCAGGCTGGTCACCAGGCCAAGATGCCTGTGGTTATAGCCACCTGACAAAAAGGGGTGGGCATTGGAAACACAAGACCAGTGCCTGAGACCGAGCTGTCTGTATGGACCTGCAGACAGCAAGGAGGGAAGCTCTGAACAAGATAGCTGCAGGAGAGGGTACCAGAGTTGTCCCTGGAAGCTGTAAGTAAATTGCCAAAGGAGAACTATAGCTTGCAGGGAAGCTGGGATTCAGTGGGGGAAGAGTTTTTGCTATACAGCCAGTGAGCTTGTATTTGTTCTGAATAGGACCTGTAGGACCAGGCTGTGGAGGGATATCTGGCAGGGCACTTACCGTCAGGTAGCTTAGCCCAGGTTCAGGGACCTTTTGGGGTTGAGACTGCTGTAGGCTAAGGCTGGGAGAGCCAAGGCCAGTAGAAGCAGTCTGGCCTGCCATCAGGGACCCAGAAGGCTCAGGGCTAGGATAGGCACAGAAGTGATATGGGGGCTAGGACCCCAGAGCAGAAGGCAGAGGCTGCAGTAGGGAAGCCAAACTCAAGAGGCTTAAGTAAAGGGGGATTGAAGCCTGGAAAGGGGCTGAAGCCTAGGATGGGTGGAAGCTAGACTAAAATAGCCTTTCCAGGGCCAGTTGGTTGACAGAAAGGGCTTCCAGGCCCAATGGACAAATTTGAAGTGTCATCTGTGAGACATGGTTGGGGCTACAAGATTGGAAGGAAGTCAGGATAAGCCCCCATCAGTGCCTCAGGGGCCAGGAGGGTAACTGCCTAATGCTTGAGGGGCAGGACTGGGTAAGGGAGGGACCCACTGACCAAAACAGACTACAGCTTGCTCTGGGGCCCTGGGACAGCCTTCCTTTTTATTGGTTTAAAAAAAATTCCATCAAGGCATAGCAGGAAAGAGGAAAAATGAGGATACCTGAGTAGTCAGAGTGCATGAGGCAGCAATTGTGGCCGCCAGGGGGCATGACAGGTGCCCAGGAGCCTAGTCCTATACAGCTTCCACGTATACCAAAGAACTCTGTCGTACAGGTGTAAGTACTCTCAATCCTTCCTTTAAAGAAGGTGTCTTGGTGCAAGATGAGTGAGGAATGAGCAGTGGTGTCTGCTGTAGACTGCACTGAAATGACAGCATGTGATGGATTTCATAGACATTAGGGCTGGAAGGGACCTCAGAAGATCGAGTCCAGCTCCCTGCCCAAAGGGCAGGAAGTCAGCTGGGTTCATAGGATCCCAGCAAGATAAGCATCCAGTTTGCTCTTGAAGGTGTTCAATGTGGGCGCTTGAACCACCTCCGGTGGCAGGCTGTTCCAGACCTTGGGGGCTCGGACAGTAAAGAAATTCTTCCTTATGTCCAGCCTGAAATGATCTTGTAGTAGTTTATGACCATTTGACCTAGTCGTCATCCCTTGGGGCGCTCTGGTGAACAAACGTTCCCCCAGATACTGGTGGTCACCCCTGATAAACTTGTAGGTGGCCATCAGATCACCCCTGAGCCTGCGCTTTTCCAGGCTAAAGAGCCCCAGGGCTGTCAGCCTGTCATCGTAGGGTCTGCTTCCCTGACCTCTGATCATGTGCGTGGCTCTTCTCTGGACTGTCTCAAGCTTCTCCACATCCTTTTTGAATTGTGGAG